AAACTGTGATTTTCTTTTTCTTTGGATCAAGATGGTTTGATGAGCACATTATAGAAACTATGGAAGCAGATTTAAATCTAAAGTTTTTGACGTGTTGGTCAACTGTAACAATTCAATATGCAATTGCACTGATATTCTAGACATGTATATGTATATTGAACACATTCTGATCATAACTCTTCTTCTTTAAGTAATTTGCAGATCAGCAATCAGATTAAATCCAGTTAGAAATGACATTGATGGGTATTGTTTAAGATAACAACAATTATGATTATTGGTTATTAATTATTATTGTGAATGTTCTCTTTTTTTTCTGTAATTGATGTGACATGTGCACTTATAAATTGAGACGATTCATGTTTATCGTAGTCAGTTTCAATTTTTAGTTCAATTTTCTATGTACATTACAAGTTTTTGCTTTTTGTTTTTTCCAAAATAAATTTTTTTTGTAAATGTCAGATTTTGGAGTTTTATGTGAGCCTCTTTTAAAACTCAAAAAACCAAAACAAACAAAAACAAAGTTATAGGCTGACTTCAGTCAACTCAGTGACATAGATTCTTTTACTTGTTCCCTACAACAAAATCCAATAGATGGCAGCAGATTCCCACATTCCCAATGTTTTTAAAATAAACAATAAATTGTACAAAAACACAGAATCTTAGAAGAATGATACAAATGAAAACTAATATATGTGATTTTATATTTAATTTATTTTAAAATGAATGTCAGGAGTTTAAATACATACTCCAGTTTAAAAATAAAAATAAAATTAGAAACCTTTGGCAGTTATTTTATTGTTCATGCTTTACAGGTTAAAAAATTCCATTCACAGAATGGCTGGCTCACCACTTTAGTGATGAAACCTCAGTTACAAAAATGCTTTTGTGAATTTTGCTGAAGTTGCAGATGAATAGTAAGAATAAATGCATTTGCCTGATTAATAACTTAGAAGGTTATAATAAGAAGGATTTTGACATTCAAACACAAATTAATCATGAACAGAAATGATTTCAAGGTCATTCACACAAGGCAAGTCTGATTTCAAATTCAAATCAGGGTCAGATTTTTTTTTACAACCATAAAACACGCACACATAGATAATCTCTAGGACAGCGTGGGGAGAAAAAAAAACAAGGAGTTTGTCTTCTGTGGTTCAGCTCAGTGCTGCTCGTTTAGGCCAAAACATGACAGTTTCTGTGTCTAATTGGAGTAAGCCAGACATCTTTTTGTTTGCCTTTGCCTTTAGTGTTCTTTGGTCTATGACCGATGCTGTGAACCATCTTTTGTAAAGTTCATTTAGCAAAACCAACAAAAACACTCCGAGAGTGCAATTCCCCCTGAACTCCGTGACCTTGACCCGATGTTGCAACATATCGATTTTTAGCTTTCACGTGTTTTCTCGATCCCTTTGGTGCTCTCATCAGGAAAGTTCAATCTCACCACTAATGAAAACAGTTAAGACATTTTTAATAACACAGATTCATCACTGCAAAAGAAAGTGAAATGAAATCTTTATCAAATATGTAAAAACATGCAAAGCCAGTCAATCATTTTTGAACTTCAGCAGACTGTCTCGACTATCTACCAGACATGTGCAGAGGGGCCTGCAGGGGCTTGAGCATCTGCCCCTTTCCTGATGGGTGCCCTTTTCTTGAGCCTTTTTTTTAATGTGTGTGTAGAGTCCTGCCTGTGGCCCTCAACAATAACATTAAACTATTAATCACAACTTTGCTAAATGAAAGGATCTGGCTTGCGTAAGTGGTTACGAGCCAGGAACAAGCTTGGTGCCTTTTTTGCCACTTGGGCAGTGCGGAGCTGTCGAAGAAACACAAAAATTGATTGGGAGATGGCTGATGCAACAAAAACCAGGAAGTAGGGTGTATAGAGTACACTATAGTCTATAGCCCACAGGAGTATTCGTTTGTTATGTACACGTGGTTAAGTTCTCTTGTGGCAACTGATGAATTGAAACAAATGAGCATTGTTGTATGTGCACTGAGCGACAGGACAACAAAACATTACCTGTCCTTTTATTAACTACAGAAGTAGTGGTAGTCATTAGCCGCTAGTTAACTGGGTAAGGGTGTCAGAGGTTTGTAGCTCTTATTATAATTACG